TATTCATGTTTTATACATTCTGTACATAAATAGAATTCTAAAACTCAAAAATATTAAGCCTAAACAAAACAAAAATTAAAAGACTAGAAAAATTGCCTTTTTTTAAAAAATTGAGATGCAGTCTTGCTCATGTTGCCCAGGCTGGAGTGCGGTGGCATGATCTCAGCATACTGCAATCTCCACCTCCCAGGTTCAAGCGATTCTCCTGCCCAAGCCTCCCAAGTAGCTGGGATTACAGGTGTCTGCTACCATACCTGGAAAAAGTCACTTTTAATGGCAAAAAGCACAATTACTTTTGCACCAGCCTATTAACCTAATAGCCATAGAAGAAACAACAAAGGAATGGGTAATTTTGGATATACTCAAAAACTGAAAAAAAAGTAAAAGCGACATAAACAAGAAAAGCTCAGACCAATATTAAAAGTCATATTAATAAAAAGATGTTTAAACTACAAATGAATGTAAATGCATGAAAATAATTTACTCTTATTAGCAAACAAGAGCAAACTAAAACAATCATCAGTTAAGAAATAACACTAAATATGAGTAAGGCTGTGGTAAGACTAACACTTCCCTATAAGCTGGCAGGAATGAATATTGGTACAACATCCATGGAGGAAGTTTAGCACATATGATCAAAGGCCTGAAAAATATGAACACTCTTAAAACCAATAATTCAATTTCTGAACATGAATCTTAAGAAAATACTCTGAACTACTACACAAAGAAATCTGTATTAAATGAAAACTGGGAAGAATCTGAATGTATACAAAGGGACTACCTAAGACAAAAGATAAGAAAACTATCTTTTATTTATAGAACCAAATATTAAATGACAATATACAATGTTGCTTACTTCATAAATATGGAGAAATAAAATCATGTCAATAAAAATGTATTTTGTAACAGGCAAAATTATATACAGAATAGTCTTGTAACTTTGTTTTCTTAAGTGTATAGAAAAAAGACTGTAAACAATGTATCCACTGTTAGCATACCTATCTTTGAATGGCCAGTTTCATGGGGGTTTCTTCAGACATTTTTGGTATGAACTAAATTAATTTAAATGAATTCATATACTTGTAAAGCCAGACAACAAACCTAATCACGAAACCCACAAACCTCTCAATGGCTCTCCATATCAACTAAAGTGCAAACACATCTCTTTGGTACCCAAGGCTCTCTACACTATAGTCCCACGGTATTTAACCATGTGTGGTTACCTTCCTTAAGGTTTATCAAAGTGGACTTCCTATTGCTTCTGAACATGCCCCATACCTTCTGACCTCAATGCCTCAGTTCAGACTATTCAATCTGCCTGGATCACCTTCTCTACCTGGCTGAGTTCTACTGTCTTCCAAAGTTCATGAGAAACACTACCTTTTTAATGAATTTTTTTATAACTCTGTGCTAAGCTAGTTACCCCAGCCAGATGTTATTTCTCTCTTTGACTCTTACAAAAAATATTTTAGCACCATTACTCTTAATACAATTTGCCCTAATTTTAATAGCTATATCTGTTTTAATGCCTTTCCTAGGTTGTAGTAGTTTGAGAAGGGGCAGGCTCTATCCTTCTTCCACTCTTTCTGTAATACTGATACACTGCTTCCCAGAATTAGGCATATAAAGAGTACTTAAGGAACTTAATAACTTATTGTCACAAGAGATTAGTCTCCTTTCTTGGGCATGAGAAACAGGAAGAAAAGAATGGGAAATGTTTCTCATTTGAGACTCTGCATGGAATTTCTCAGAAACAGTAAGGAAAATAGTACCATAATTATGGACTAATATTTTATTATTTTTGCCAGCCAAAAATCTATCTATAATGGTAACTTAATTTCTATAGACACAAAAATGTGCTTGGAATTCCCAAGAACCTACCTCCAAAAGCATTTCTGGAATACAGTTTGTGGTTGAAGTGATACACTTGCAGAAAATAAATACTTTCCTTTAGGAAAAACATCAACTTTGCTTAAGTCTGCCTTAAGCCTCTTCTGAAACAAAATATTGTTAATGACAATAGAAAGGGTGAAAGAAAAAGAAGGAAAGTGGATGTTCTAAACGCCTAATTTCTAAAAGCAAATTCTAAAGGGAAAATACGGGCAAATTAAAAAACACCCCTTTTATTATCACTTTCCAATTCTACCTTTGTCTGTTACCATATTCCAGGAAACAACTGAAACCTTAAGGTAAGAAAGACTTCAAAGGCTTCTATTTTGTTTTTCCATGCAAATCTTTAAAATTGGACTAATCTTCTTATGTATATATTTAAATGTTGCTATATTCAGTGAGTATGTATTGAGAAATGTGCTGGGCATACAAAAGTGAGTAAGACACACAAGGTCTCTGCTCTCAATGTCTATAGGCTGTTACAGAACCCATGTACATTCTACTGGAGGAAATGAAAAACACACAAACCAATGAACAAGATAATTACAGATTACCATAAGGGCTGTAAAGCAGAGAAAATAAACAAGACAGGGAGACGTTCAATAATTAGTGAAGGCCTGTTGGATATTTAAACACCGAAGAGGAAAAAGGACCAAGCCATGCTCAATACCTGGGTAAAATCTTTCTAGACAAAGAGAAGTGGAAAGGTCCAAGATGGAATAGCCTCATTCTGTTTGAGGAATACAGACAAGGCAGTGTGGCTAGTTGTGTTTTTCAAACTGGGGGTCACATTTTAAATTGTGATGTTAATTTTGTAGGTAATTGCATTTTTAAAAAGGAACTCAAATAGAAAAAACACATCAGAGAGTCACATGTTTTCAGAAGTATTCTTTAATGAATTTTTGCTGTGGTTATGTGAGTGTGCACATTTGTACTTGGTTGCAACATATAACATGTATCTTACTTTGAACAGTGGTCAAATCTGCACTAAGCAAGCAGAGCAATAACAGATGAGGATGGGGTGTGGGAGGCTGGCAAGAGCCAGATAACACATGGCCTTGCATTATAGGCCACCATAAAGAATTGGGATTTTATTCTAAACACAATTGGAAAGGCACTGAAAGGTTTCAAGCTGGAGAGTGACATATCTAATTTGACATCATGGTGTTGCCAAAAGATTACTGTAGTGAAAATCAAAAGACATGCGCACCTAGACCTGGCCTAGCCAATAACATCAGGGATTTTGAGCAAATCTCTTAATCTCTCTAGACCTCACTTTCTTCATTTTAAAAATGAGAAGGTTGCCCCAAGATGACCTTTAAGATCTTGTTTATTGCCTCATTTCTGCGTCAATTCTGCTTCCTCCCTTGGGCATAAATACTGTTATTGGCTCATTGAGTCTAATTCTGAGTTACTTCTTAAAATATTATAAACCATGTATAAACAGCTATAATAGTTATATTTCTGTAGAAAGCAATTGAAGAATGATCTCTTTATTGGAACTAGCTATATTATTAGAAATGAGAACTCTGGGTGAAAAGTGGATCAAGTGCTTTTGCAACTCTCTGGTACAAAGTTTGGGGTGTGAAGAAAATTGGCAAGGAGGCATGAAAAGATTTACTGACTGGTATTTGAAACTGATTTCCATATTTGTTCTAGGTCATCAATTGACGTATAATCTAGGATGGTTTAAAGTTGCAGAGAACCTTTGCTGAGTACTAGTCAAGATGTAGAAGCTTAACGCCTTTCACAGTAACCGAAATGACTACTGAGGCAAAATATTCACTGAGAACCTACTGTATGTTAAGACATGCTAGATGGTTTGATATATTTTTTTAAATTTAATCCTACTAACTTTATTATTTACATTTCACAGATATGAAAACGGGCTCAGAATAAACAAGAAAGCTATTTAGTGATAGGTTCTTGATTATAATCGGTCTTAAGGTAGGCAACATATAAATCATTATTCAATTCCATATTTACAATAAGTTATTCCATATGTTTTACAAAATTATTGTACAAGTATTAAATATTCAGTTATGTACTTGACAACTCAAGTATCTGTGACATCTGGACACAGAATGTTCAACCAATAAATCAGTTCTGGACTCATAGGTACTTTGCAAGATACAGTTTGGGATGATGAGAAGTTGTTCCATCATTGGAGGGCCTATTCTGTGGGTAGCATGCTGAGTTATATGAAAGCGAAATTAAGTAAAATATCAAAGGAATTTGTACACCCAATTAAGTACACATCAATAGTATTATGGCAGTTTCCAGGTACATTTTCTCTAGTGTTGCTGGACAATGTCACCCTTGTTGTGGGCCTAACAAGTATCCTGAAAGTTCCATAAACATGAGGACATGCTAGAAACTTACCGATTTCCAACTTATATTAACCCTTTAAAGGAAGCATGTGACACACTTGATCATTTGAAGCAGCGCACACGGCTTGTCATGGAGAGGACAACGTTTGAGATGTGCCCAGCATCATCCTTGGGAGGGTCGAAAAGGTCCCTAACACCTTCCACAAAGACACAACACTCCAGCAAAGTTGGGGATGCTTACTGCACACCTTAACACCCAGAACAGAGTACCCACCTGTCACATACTCAGCTTCAAACCTGCGTCGGGTCTCAGAGATGAGCTTGGCTTTATTCTGGGCGTGATTCTGGATGGGAGACATGACGGGACCTTAGATACTACTTGCATCAACCCGCTTACCCTCAGCCCAGCCCACCTGCACCCGGGCGCTCGGTCCCCGGGCCTCAGAGGCGGCTTCCGGGTCCGGGCACCCAGCGGCGGTGCAATAGACTTCTCACCTCGGCCATGATCGCGGTCGTGGATGTGATTGCAGTTGTCGCCGTCGCCCGTTCTACCGTCGCCGACCGAGTATCTCATCACCCGCCAGTCCCGCCCAGAGGTAGACAGAGAAGGGTGGGAGGGGGAGGCGGTCGCGTGACACCGGAAGACGGACAGAAGTGCCGGTGCATTGCCCAATCCAATGCGGACGCCTGGGTCTGGAGGCGGGACCAGTCCCTCAGCCTAGGTCCCATTCGGTTCTCATCTGGCCGCGCCCCGCGACTTCCCCCGCACTGCGGTCCCACCCCCGCCAGCCGCGAGAACGCCGGCGCTTCCCCCGCGGAGCTCCGCCCTTGAAAGCTCGCTGGCTATTCGCTTTCGCAACATCCCTAGGGCCCCGCCTCCTCAGCCTCCCGGGGCAACCTTCTCCGTGCTGGCTTCTAGGCTCCGCCTCCTCTGCGTTCGACGCAGCCTCCGCCGGGCCTCCCAGGATGCAGCTCGCTGGCGGGAGGTTTGGAGCAGATAGATACTGTATCCGCGTGGGGCATCCGGAATGTTGCCGTTGCGTTGAGGTAGGATGGAACACCTAGTCTTCCCTACCTGGGACTTCGCAGAGGGGGCGATGGGGCTGGATTTCCTCCCTTTGTCCCTGCAGTGCGGGAGAGAGAGAAGGAAGCCGGCATCCTGAGACCCGGGTCTGTCATTCCGTGGAATGATAATTGGATTTTAAGTGCTACAATCAGGGATTATTTTGCTTGAAACTTTTTTTCATCCCTTCAGTATCCTTCCCACTTCGAGTGTGAGATGCTTAACGAGCAAAATATCTTTGAAATCTTTAATCTCAAATAGTTATGTAAAGTTAAATGATAAAAGCGTCTTTCGGCTTATTAATTAAGGTACTTGCTCTCAAAGGGCGCGGGGGGAAGGGGTCGGTTTTACCACCCAGGGACTTTGGGAGCGTCTGGAGACATTTTTAATTGCCACTGCTGGGGGTCGGGGGCAAAAGAATGCTACTGGCTTCTAATGCTTAGAGACCAGAGACGCTGCCAAACATCCTGCACTTACGTGAAAAGTCGTAACAGTTATCCAGCGCAAAATGTCAATAGTGTCAAGGTTGAGAAAGATTTAGATTTAAAGGGACTGGAACAAATTTTGTGCGTCAGTTAAAAACAATTGAAAGAAAATCGTTGCGCATTCAATATTGCCTTTTTTTAAAGTTGAAAGATACTGAAAACTACAAACAAGTTGAATGAACAGTTCCCCATATTTCCATCAACCGTAGTCATCCATGACAGAGGCATGTTAGCATCTTTTGTCCTAAACTTTTAAATATGTTTGCATTTTATAGGAAAAAATGAACACATTGTTCAAACGTTGTTTGACTACAGCCTTAAAAGATATTTCAGATATAACTAAAGTCTCCCTCTACCTCTACTCACCTATCTTGGACACTTCCTTGTCCAGAATCAACAGTCATTCAGAATTTAGCACGAAATCTGTTTTTACATTTTTTATTTTGGATCATCTTGCCTGGGTTTGAATCCTGGTTCTGTCACTTCTTATCTGCAAGCCTTTGAGAAGATCCTGAAACTCCATGCCTCAGTTTCTCCATCTATAAAATGGGATAGCAATAGTGCCTATGGCATAATGATGTTATCAGGAAGAAGAGAGTTAATTCAAAGTGCTTAGAATAGTACCTAGCACTGTTTATTCAGGAAAAAAAAATAGTATATGGCAGTATTTCTTGATAAAGCACTCAGGTAATTTAGCTGTTGTAGGTAAATAGAAAATATATAATACTGTTTGTTTCAATTTACATAAATAATATACTGCAGTGTACATTTGTCTGCAACTTAATTTTTAATTCATTTTATGTTTAAAATCTAACCATGATTTTATACGTATAGATAGATCTAATTCATTCCTTTTAACTCTAGTATGATAGTCCATCTATGTTTACTCATTCCGCTATTGGTGTTCATTGAGGTTTTTACTTTTTTTTATATTGCAAAAATCAGCACAGTAAGCATTCTAGAGCAATGTATTCATTCATATGTGGAATTATATCTCTGGGTTCATATCTACAAATGAAACTACTGGATGTATGCATTTCAGTTGACTGTCAAATTACCTCCAGGGTCATCTCTCCCTTTTATTAAGTACTCATTGTTTTCTTCTAATTGTTAGCTCTTTTTCCAATCTGATCTCACTCACATCTTTAACACTGTCACCAGGATCTTTATAACTCAAAAGTACAGTCCTGTGATTTCTGTTTTTGAAAACTTTCGGTGGTATATCATTACTTATATAAGAAATTCAGAAATCCTTAACATGACATAAAAATCTTCTTTAACTTAATCTTCCCAAATTCTCTAATTTAGTTGATCACCATTCTCTCACATTTACTCACATTTCGGGTATATTAGATAATGTTGAAAAAGGTGAGATCAATTTTGTGTAGGCCCCAACAAATAACTTATGTAGGGAGAAAAAAACTTTTTTTTTTTTTTTTTGAGACAGAGTTTCACTCTTGTTACCCAGGCTGGAGTGCAATGGCGCAATCTCGGCTCACTGCAACCTTCACCTCCCAGGTTCAAGCAATTCTTCTGCCTCAGCCTCTCGAATAGCTGGGACTACAGGTGCCCGTCACTACTCCCAGCTAATTTTTTTGTATTTTAGTAGAGACGGGGTTTCACCATGTTGGCCAGGATGGTCTCAATCTCTTGACCTCGTGATCCCTCAGCCTTGGCGTCCCAAAATGCTGGGATTACAGGTGTCAGCCACCACGCCTGGCCCTGTAGCTGCTGTTATAATGTTAATAAGTAAAACTTCAAATAGCCTATAGGCTAGAATAGTAAACCTGGTGCCCTGATAATCAGGATTTAAATAATGAGGCTTTGCTTATAATTGGATTAATAACCTCTAAATTAAACCTTAGTTTGATTGGTTTCCAGATATGTTTCTGTCTTTTAAAAAATGCTAGTTATTTCATTGCTTGCAGGTTTTATGAGCATATGCCAAGAACTTTTAAAATAGATGTTACAGCAGCAATACCTATCTACTCTGTTAGCAGTTACACTTCAATAAAGCTGAGAAAAAAGTTAAAATTAAATTCATTTTAGCAATGAATTTAATTTTAATGATTATTAATTAGATCTAATTAATAAATAGCAAACATATTAAAAAAAGGAGATTGAAAACATGTTGCATCAGTATAAAATATAGTGGGTATGCTCATATATGTAAATTCAATAAGTCTTGCAAAAACTTTTCACTCAGTAGTCATTTGTGTTTTTAGATCTGTTTAATTTCATGAGAATAAGTTTGCTTTTTGCCTGGAGATCACATTGAAAGCAGGTTGAATTAGGATTATACAAGAGTTTTGAATGCCATGCTAAGCTTCATAGCAATGATTCTCAAGCTTGTTTTCTCTACAACATTTCAGTGCACAGTGTTTAACATCTATTTTTCCAGGTAGTACTTTGAGTCATATGTCTATTGAGAAGGGCAAGGGGCATGCAGGCTTTTGGATTAGGGGATGGACAGTGACAGGATCAAGTGTGTATTGGCGGAAAGAGAGATGAGGATAAGGAAGACTAATAAAGCTTTTATCTCAGCCTGAAAGATCACAGCCTGAACTATAGTAGTGGTAACTGCTATAGTTGGAAAATAGATATTTCTAACTTAGGGAACTTGATGATGACATTTAAAGAGCAAAATGTAAAGGGCCTAATTTTCCTAAATTCTGACCATTTTACAATCAGATTTTCCTTACTCCTATCACATTTAACTTATTGGTAAGTGAATCAGAGCATTGTACTGATTAAACATTAGTTGTGATATTTAACATTAAAATAATGAAATTTGTACAGAGGTGATTTTTATTTGTTTTTGATATTAAGAAATCTGAAAAACTTTGAATAGGTAGTAAAAGATGGTGAATTCTTAGAGCTTTACCT